TGGGGAGGTAGCCAATGTTGTCTTTATGGACCTCAACCTCATTACGCACTGATATATTGAATCCTGTCCACCCACTAACCTTCTGGTTTACCTCGGCATGTAAGCGAACTAATACCCACAATAGGTTTTTTCTTCGCGCATTGTCTAGCGCTTCCTGGCAGCTGACCTCTACAAACCCTCTTGGCTTGGGTCCCTGTCGCTCGCCTGCATTATATATTGCTAAATCTGCACCATCAAGCGGCTCGATGCTTCTCCGCTTGGTTTTTGCTATCTCTGGTNCTTCTCTCTCTCTCTCTCTCTCTCTCTCTCTCTCTCTCTCTCGCTCTCTTCCTTCGTCTCCCACCACACACACACACACACGCTACCTCTCACTCACTCGCTCTCTCGCTGCGGATCGAGGATAGTTGGCATCATGGCGACCGGCGGGATAAAAGACAGGGCGGTCGGTCTGCTACCCATCCTCCTTGAATTCGTCATGCTACTGCTGCGAGTGGCTTACGAGTGCGCCAGGGCAACTATCAAGTTCTTCGTACCGCTGCAATACAAGGCGAAGCGCATGCAGGGAGAGATCGTTCTCATCACGGGCTCGGCCGCGGGGCTAGGTGATCTGCTCGCCGTCCGCTTCGCAAGACTCGGCAACACCGTCGTGCTGTGGGACGTTGACGCTAGCGGCAACGACGCCATCGCCGCGCTAGCGAGGAAGGAGGGAGCGAAGGCGTACGCGTACACCGTGGATATGGCGAACCGCGACGCGATCTACGCGGCGGCGGCGGAGGTGCGGCGGGACGTCGGTGACGTGACGGTGCTTGTCAACAACGCTGGCGTGGTGACCGGCAAGAAGCTGCTGGAAGCAGACGATAACCTGGTGGAGAAGATGTTCGCAGTTAACACCATCGCTCATTTTTGGGTAGGTATATATATGTGTTCATATATATATATATATATATACTATATATATTTATATATACAGCACACACACGCACCGCACGCACGCATACGTTCGCACAACGCACGCACACGCGCGCACGCACACGCGTAGACGGCAGCTGCACACACAGCCGCAAGCGCACGCACTACTCGCACCTACGGCACCGCACACACACACATATACACATTAGTGACTACAGTGTATATATATATATATATATAGCAGCATACATATTATGTATGTAATATATATATACGTATATATATATATATATATTATCATAGTATATATAATATAATAGTAGTAACTATAAATAGACCAACGATTGGCACTCGGTTTTATTCCGGTACATCCTTCGTGTCCAGTACTCCGTTCATTGCATAGTTATTTGATTTGAGCTTTTGCTTTTATATCCTGTACATGTGGCTAGTTCTGTAGGAGAAAGACCTGCCCGGACGCGAATTTTTTTCGCCACTTGAGTTCCGGAGCCCAACATAGATAGGTGTTTTGTAATATATGGTTCGTATATAAATGGTTGGGATATAGTTACTGTTTAGGGTTCGGGTTCGGGTTCGGGGTACGGGTTGAAGGGTTAGGGTTAAGGATTAGGGGTATTCATTTTGACATTGTTGCTTCGAGAATCGAGTGAATGGAGTGCGCTGATGCTTGTGGGTCCGGAACTCAAGTGGGGAAAAAAATTTCGCGCCCTGACCGCTATGCGAAGCTAGGTCATGCCCAGAACATGCAGGGGAATAGTAGTTACTGAAATCTCTCGAGTGACCAGATATAGATATATTCATCTGATGAGGATATACATATTTACAAGAGCAAATTTTGACAACACAACGTGCAAAAACAAAATATATATACAAGGAAACATAAGAGCAGTATTATAATTTAAATTAAACAGTAAATTTAGAAGATATAGGGCAATGGGGATCACATAATATCAGATTCAATATAATATATGATAAATTCAGATTATAATATTCAATATAAAGTAACTAAATTGTGATAAATCCTGAATACTACTGATAAACAGCTTGTTATATTATGTGTAAATGTATCTCCTTTGCACAATTCGTTTACACTTACCATTCTATTATTATTACTATAATTAGAATGTTGTTATTATTATAATAATAATTACTATTATTTTCAGACAGCAAAGGCGTTTTTACCGAGCATGCTGGAGCACAACCATGGCCATGTAGTCACCATTGCTAGCTCTGCAGGTCTTGTTGGAGTCAATGGTCTGGTAGACTATTGTGCGAGCAAGTTTGGCGCAGTCGGATTCGATCAGGCACTTAGGTAATTATATTAAACTCATATGCGGTAACGATTTTAATCAATTTTGTTTGTCTCGATTTTGTATCGCTACGCCAATATTTTGAAGGCAGTATTTTGTATTTTTGAAATAAGATGGGTGTTTATAATTTACGAAAGTGCACATTATGTTTTTTGCTTATTGTGTTTTTTTTTGTATATTTTATCTTAAAATAGGTTTGAACTTGATGCTACCGGCAAGGATGGTATCCATAGCACGTGCATCTGCCCCTATTTCATTAACACCGGCATGTTTGATGGAGTCAACGCCAAGTAAGACATCTAATCAGGGGTATCATCCTCACATATATATCAGGGGAAATCACGAAACTCAACATAATACTGTTGTATTGCTTTCATCACGTCTTACTATATGATAATGAAAGAGATGTTACAAGAGAGTTTAATTGGTCAAACTGGCTACATAAAATTCATATTCTACCTTTTTGATCCAATATATACTTGTACTCATTTTAATTATTTTTTAGTGCTGTGGATTTGCATTTTGGATATCACCAAGAGCGTATTAGGCAGTACATACATAATACGCTCTTGATATCACATTGCAACACGGTCTAAAGTCGAAATGACTCAAGTCAGAGCGACAGCAGTATCACGAGAAATTTCTGCTTTACAGGTTTCCGGCGCTGTGTCCGATCCTGGAAGCAGAGTACGCGAGTGACAAAATCATGGAGGCCATTCTCACGAACCAGAAAATGCTTCTAATGCCCAGAGCTCTGTATTGGGTCTGCACGCTCCTACTGTGAGTTTCACCAACGAATCGCAA